GACTTGAGGAACATCTGGCAGCTAAAAGACGAGCAAATGCGTTATCACCGTTAGGAAGACATAGGATTGAGACGCACAATGGCGATAAATTTGACGTTGAATGCACTATCTTGTCATACGAGACAGAGATTACAGTAAGAAAGATTGTCGAGGCAGCGTGGATTTCTCTCAGAAATCCTAGCATGAATAACAGAAATGAATGCGTGTCGATAACAACCGAACTCTTGCCCATCCTATTTTAACAATCTGTGAGCGATGTCTGCACATATATAAATGACAATCATAGGACAGCACTCACAAGGGAAGGATAGTTGGATGCCGCGGCCATTCCTAATGATTTGTATACCAGAAAATGCGCCTTTGAATGCAGATTCTGAATCTGTGCTCGAAATCTGCGAAACGATCTTTTGAACAAAGTTATGAACTTTTTTCCTTGAAAATTTAGCCTACTTTTGGATAGTAAAAATCACCAGATTTGATCTAACCTACCGTTTGATGCTAATGAAGAAAATTTTAGACGTAGTAATATTTATTTAGACTATCTGGATCATACTCAGCATTTGGAAAGGAGAGAAAATTTTTTTATTGATGACTTTGACCCTCCGCAGGAACGCAATTTTTTTAATGAAAAAAATCATAACTCCATTCAGATTATCGTTTCGCAGATATGAAAGACAGTCTACGAACCAGCATTCAAAAGCGCATTTTTTGGTATACAAATCATTATGAATGGCTACGGCATCCAAGTATCCTTCCCCTGTCAGTGTCGTCTGTCTCTTGGTGCGGCTAAGTACTGACTCTACTGAATCCCACTACCACTACGGTGGATAAAGGTTCGTTTTCTGATCAACATGTCTTAGTACGCTGAGTGCGGGACGAGGTCTAGACTCGGCAGTGCGGAGAGGCGTTTGGCGGTCTGGTTTCGCAGATATAACGTTGCAATCTACTTTCAGGCCTCCGACGAAGACGAAATTGTCGAAATGTAAGGCCAATAAAGAATTCTACCGTACAAACCTGGCACTGGCATAACATCAAATAACAATTACTAACACATTCCCGAATGCCAAGGTTTAGAGAAGAGAGAACATGGAACTTATGTAAGCAACAGTCTTTCTCAATGAATTAAATGTTACATGCTGTATGAAAGTAAAAGTAAAGAATTCTCAAATGATATTAAACTTTCATGGTTACGTTTTGATCTGATGAGAAAATTTCAAATTAAGTTCTTCAACATAATTTATTTCACAAGTAAAAAATGTACACTAGATTGGCAGTTGTATGTTTGAAACTAAGTGAAGTAATGAGAACAACACACAGACGAGGAATAAATGGCTTGCGGTGCACAACATCAATTCACGCGATTACAACTAGGAAACGGTCCCAAATTGCAGTGGCGTCTGGAACGAACTGCATATCACTGGATGGGTTCTGTTAAGCTGAATCTAAATCTAACCTCCGTATTTGCTGCCTTGTTGAAAAAAGCTATGGGTGCTTGAAGTACCAAAATGGCAAACGTTCAGTGGCATCCTTTCAAGAATTAGCTATTCAAAAGCGCTTACTTGTGTTTCTCTTCGATATTATATGTGGATTCCTTCTAGCCAGCACACTAACACATTGCCAATCATGCAGTTCCAAGCTGATGTAAATGCACATCATACATGATGACCTCAATGACTCCACACTTCTAATCGCTACAATATTTTCCAAAGAATACCGCAGCAGATACGGAAGGTGGTTTTGAAATTTGCTGGACTCAAGGTGCATCTAACGGTTTGCATTTCATTTCTTCTAGAGTGCGATTTGGGAGCTCCCTTGTAAGTTTTTGAATAAGTCGTAACAGGAAAAAACCTTTTCTTTGTACTGATATATTACATTTGCACGTTCGTCTATCTAGTTCATAGTTTATCATGAGTCCGACAAATCAGGTTTCGGCGGCATTCTTTTGTTGAAGTAGAAAATGTTGCATGATAGCCGCACACTTCAACATTCCTCGGATCGATGAGTTGGACAAACTGACTTTGTTGCTACCATAACACTCTAGACTGTGGGGAATCCAATGTACCTACTGGGCGAATTTACTTGATATGTCTACGCCTTCATTTTACCGTCCTTCAAGCCAGCGTGCTTCTAAGGTTTTCTTTCCCGATATTTCACAAAATTTATGATGTGGTGCATTAGCGATGTAAGATCTTGTCAGATTAGCCTGCGGACAGTGCAGTCTATATTCAACGCATAATTCTAGGCTCTGTTACGTGACAGGTTACTGGTTTTGCCACACGTTTACGTGTATAAAGATGAAGATGAAGATAAAGACAGGCGCTGTATTGAGTTTGGAGAATCAATCAAAGAATAACGAGTTGAGAGCGGCTATGCTTACTTAAGTTTTGCTGCCGGTCAAACATGCATAAAATAAATTTATCGGTTAAATCTTACAAGGGAACGATATTTAGTGTCCGTGGCCTTTGTGATGAGATGTATACAGTTGTCCCTCGAAATCTGCTGTGCGCCTCTGCTAAATAGTTATGAACATTTGTTTCCCCTAAAATTTGTACTGTTTCAATGACAGGACTCACCATTATCGTTAGAATGGTCGATTACGTAATAAAAAAAGGACGAAATATTAGGTTGGCACATAAGTAATGCAACTTTTTATATAACTTTTGTCTATTTGAACGTAGTGCATTCATTTTTTGGCAATATAAGGAATGATGTAAGCTTCTAATGCACACATTTTTGCCGATTTTTACCATCTTATGTGAGGATTACGGTAGGTTTACGGTACTATGGGAAAATTTTTAAAATGCATCAGATTTTGCTGAAACTTGGCCTATAGGGCTTATTTGGCATGCTGATGACAAAAATGAGATCGGTTTCGCATGAAAAGGCTTCGCTCGTGAGATCAAAAGATGAATTTTATTTTAGCGACAAATGAATATAATATTCGTGTTTACCGCATAGGATTACCCCGTAGTGCAAAGTTATAGCGAATTCTGACTTTTCGCAGCTTAGTTATTGACAAATTGCCTTCAAAACTTTACGCATTTGACTTGTTCAATTTCTCAAAGGCGCCCCGCCTTAATTTGTGTTTAAATTTCATTTCTTTTTCACTGATTCCAATGTGCCAACTTCCAGCTACATGCTGTCTATAATTGCTTTTTCATATGTTTGAACCAGGTTTCGTAGGGCTTCATGTTTGCCAAAAAATCGTGAAACCTCGATTTTCAGCAGTTTTCAAAAAATGCTTAGATTTTTTGTACTACTTTATGAAAAATCAAACGGTTTGCGCAGACTTGCAGCTTACATCACGATCTACATGATGCCACAAAACAAGATTGATACATAAAATAAGAAAAAAGTTACTGGAAAAGTTGCAAAACTTAAGTGCCAACCTAATATAATAAGGCTTTAGGAAAAGGAAGGAAAACTGTCTCCGATATATCCGAGTCCACTGACTGCCTAGATCTTGTGAATAAAAAAGTCCATAACTTCGTTAGTCGCACAGCAGATGAAAATAGATTTGGATTAGCGATTCAAGGTGCATTTACTGATATACATCTCATTGCAAACGGCAACGGTCGCCAAGTATCCTTCTCTTGTAAGTAGTATACGTTTGATGGAAGATGATCTAAAATGCATTATTCTCACTGGTAAATAGGCCTTCACAAGAGTCAATTATGCTTATTGCTAGAACCAGTCAATTGGTTGCTCTCAGGCACAACACTTAAACAAATTAAATTTGAGACTGCAATAATATAATAGCTTCAGACGTTTTTTTACATCTTCCGCAGACCTGCAGCAAACAAAGCATGCAAATAGCAGCTGTGCAAGCATACATATCTTGAAACAGCTCGATATCCTTGTTCCCTCCATAGCAGAAAAATTTAGCGCATTACTGTGGCGCCTTTCCCACAAATTACTATGAGATAGATCAAAAGCTAGAAGCGAATAAAGATAATTACTTCAGTTTTACAATTTTTGAGCACGCTTAAAAGCTCTAAACATAGCAGCAGAGACCGAAACAGCCATAAACATGAGTAAGTCTCCTTTCTAGCTGAGCGAGTTTCGAGGTGATCGATAGCGATTTTGATTTTCGAGTAATTTTCGGATTTTCGTGCCTGCATAAAATCAAATCTGCTCCAGATTGGCACGAATTTCTCTCAGCTAGAAAAAGAAGCTTATAGACCTTATGCTTATGACTGTTGCGGTCTCTGCTGCAACGTTTTCAGCTTTTTGAGCATGCTGAGAAATTGCAAAATTGAAGTAATTTTCTTCAATTGCACTTTCGAACTATCTCATAAAAATTTGCGGAAAGGTACCACAGCAATGCGCTAAATTTTCTCTCTCCATATAAAAATACTTTCAGAACTTTTCACGACCCAGCTCGAGAAACCCCAACCTTGACCATTTCCTTCAATTGCTTCTAAGTCTCGAATTTCCTCAACCTAATTCACGATGGGAGCACCGCTGTGAAGAGCATGGATTCCTCCTTCAAACAAGGATAGTTCTAAGGAAGACATCATCGAGTGGCAAGGAAGATATGATTTTTTGAAAATGATGCGCAAGAACTTTCGGACCACCCTATTGTATTCAAACGCAACACTGATAGTGACGCACAATCAAAACATGTAGGAAAGAGGAAAGACAATAACAGCTTTAGCACACAAAAGCGTTCGCATTTTGACTTATGACATTTTCTTGGTCGCGTTATGTATGCATTCCACCTTTTAGATTGCGATAGCATCGCAGTTCAGAACTTCACATTAGTAATGATGTATGTGACATTACTTGGTCTCTATAAAAGAAAGTCTGACCAAAAAGCACTTTCCTAACCTTCACTCCGCCCACAAAAAATTATTTGCCCCTGCTCCTCTCCCATTTCGTCATCGCAGCATTTACTGCAAACTTAGGAGGGAGTGTTATTATCAGCTTTTATTAACACTTTGTTTTCTAAATTTCTTGAGATGCCTTGTTTCCAGGCACTAATTCTAAACGTACTTTCAGATTTCTAAGATTTTGGTTTCATTCTATGATGTTCAGCATGTTCAGCCGTCTTTGATACCAATACAACAGCTAAATGGACGATGATTATTGGTGTTACGATGTTAGTTTTGTTTTATGTTCTGTTTAAACGTAAGATAACCTAACATTTTTCGCGCATTCTCTTTTGCTAGTTTGAGTAAAAGCGCTTGCAATAAATTGCTATACCTAAAATGTTTAAAATCAGTCCCATAGTCTTACAAGGGAAGTTCGCCGAATCGAAATGGTCGATTGATACGTGGTATACACCGGAATGCGGGGCTCGGGAGGTTAGTATTAAATGTGCGCCTATTAGCTGCGACGCGTTTTTGTGAAGCAAGTTATGGCCCTCTGAAGTTTTTGGCGTGTGCATGTCTAGAGAACGTGTCAGGTCTAGAGCAGCAAATGCTGCGATTGTCGTGTGGTGTAGTGGTTAGCGCCTCGGACTCGCAGGTGACCGGTGAGGGTTCGGATCCTGTTGCTGTCTACATGCTTTGCGTTCTTCTCAAAAATCATTTTTTACCTGTTTTATGCATTACTGACGTAAAATTGACACATACGGGTGGTTAAACTTTACTAATTATACATCCTGCCGTGTCATTCTCACAAGGTAGCCCATTAGCAAGAATCAATAGTATGACGTGATACAACTTAGAGATTGTCACGTAAATACTACGTGCGATCGAAGAAAGTATGTGGGAATGAGGATTTGGCAAATCTTCAAAGTCAATTGAAAAGCCGTCGCTAAAAAGTCGTTGCTATGTTCTACGAAAATCTTACATATAAAGCATTGGTCGAATTTTCGTGAGAAAAATCATCCCGTAACCCGTGCGTGTCATTTTTTACCTCAATAATACATAAAACAGGTAAAAAATGATTTTTGAGAAGAACGCAAAACATGTGGACAGCAAGAGGATTCGAAACCTCACCGGTCACCTGTGAGTCCGAGACGCTAACCACTACACCACACGACCACAGAGCATTTGTGCGTACTTTAGACATGTACACGAAAACTTCACTTCATAACTTGCTTCACAATAACGCGTCGCACCTAATGGGCGCACATTTGAGACTAACCTTCCGAGCCCCGGTCCGGGTATATACCACGTATCAATCAGCCATTTCGATTCGGCGAACTTCTTTTGTTAGTGATCTTACATTTTTTTCAACAGCGAAAATTTTCTGAAAAAGACTTTTAAATTATTCGAACCCATTTTATCAAAAAATTTACAAGAAAAATTTGATCTGGAAATTTTAGTGATTTCTATGATTACTGTCTATTTGTGGTGCCAGGAAAAACCATAACCATTCTACTTTTAACCAGTTTAACATGCTTTTTTTCCAAAATTATTTCCAGTGAAGTGCAAGAGCATTTACTTGGCTCAAAAGCGCTGTTCTTTACAGGAGCTGAAAAAGTCCAGAGAGCATTTTGATCTCTTTCAGCAATTTAAAATACTATTTTTCCAAAATGTTTCTGCCATGCGAATCCAGCCAGAAAAGAATTTAAATGATGGCTTGAAGTCCCCCTCCTCCTCCCATTTGGCCGCTTAAAGATGAGACCTTAGTCCTTTTTCTGTTCTGTGCAAAACAATTATGTTGAAAATAGGGCGAAAATATGCAGTCTGATCTAATCCTAATCAGACCAAAATGGCATAGCGGGAACCCACGTCGTTAGGGTTTTGTGTCACGTCTAAAGCCTGTTTACCTGCTCTCTTTTCAATCTCTTCGCTCTCTCCGACAGCGCGCATATGCAGCGCGGACCCCTAGCGCTGCGAGTCGGCCTGATCATGATTGAAATAAACTTTAACATTGATGTATGGTTGAAATTATTATGCTGGAGATCATTTGATCGAAACCAAAATGTCCTGAAAATGTTAAACGATAACGACACAATTCTTGCTGCTTTTTGTGAAGTTGTCAATCTGATACAATCAAAAAAGCAATACCCCCCCCCCCCTCCCCCCATTAGAAATGGATCTTGCTAACCGAAAAGTATCGCTTTTTTCATTTTGCGTCAAGCTGACAAAGTGTGGTAATCTATGTCATCCGTAGTTACATCTCAAATCATCAATAATCATTATTCTAAACTTGAAAATTCTAACGATAGAAACTTATTAGTTTTTTCGTAGAAGCGTATGGCAGATGTTGCAGAAAATTTGAAGATCAGAGTTTTAGGCGATCAGTTGACATAAATGGTCATGGTTAAACAAGCCGATTCCTTTCACTTTTCCGAGGGAGATCTATTTTATGTTTACTCTGCACGCTTTTCTAGTACACTCGACTACTTATTTTCATGTTAGAGTGCGAAGGCGATGAAATTTGAAATCGGTCCTTAGAAAAGCTATTGATATTTCGGCTGCTGTTTAGGTAGACAACAACATTGTATGGTAAGATCTATGTCAAGATTACTAAACAGTCGAACACAATTGTTTGAGAGCATGAGTTCCACCTACAATTTCGCTATTCCGAGAATGAACACCTGCATTTAAATCGCTGCTTACAAGAAGAAAAAACGCTTAGAGTTACTTTTTTATGGAGAAGTAACATTTATGGATAGAATCTGCGGATTATATCTGCACGGCTTTTTGAACGACCTAATTCTTGAAAATCCACAATGGTTTAGTTTCGCTCCCAATTGATGTACTTTTACCATTTGGTGCTCGCAACGTCCTATAAACTGAGGCTCTTATTTTATTTGCTGGTTTAAAGAAAGCTTATTCCAAAAAACAGTTTCTGAGTTTTAAAATTCTTGTGAACACTTTTACAATTCGCATCTATTATCACATCTATTATTATTATTATTATTATTACAATTTACATCTATTCTATTAATTGAATCTTGCTCAAACTTTTTTTTCAGAACATTGTACTAATTCCCTCAATAGCTGCTCTTGTTACAATCATTGTAATAGGCGCAATTGGCAACATTTGCGCTTGTCTCGTGATTGTTAGAACAAAATCCCTGCACACACACGCCAACTACTGCTTGCTGGGTCTTGCTTGTTCGGATATGCTCCTCCTTTTTCTAGGTAAACTTTTGTTGGCATAGAAAAACTTTCGTCTCACATAATTTGAAAATATTGTAGCTTGCCCAATGCAAATGTATTACTTTATCAGCTGCCACGCCACTAACAACTTTGTCTGCATGTTATACTACTACATAAGAGAGGCATGTGGCTTTACTTCAATATATACTATCTGCGCCTTTACAGCGGAGCGGTGGTTGGCTGTACGGTAAGCTGTGTGGTGAACAGGCTTCCAGTAGTATGTGATACCTTTTATTTTCCAGCCATCCTTTACGAATGAATGTAAAATTGAGGAATTTTTGTATTACATTAGCATCAGTTGGCATCCTCGCACTGTCAGTCGTCGCTGGTTTGAGGACTCATGACCTATGGGTTGAAAAAGGAAATGTGAATCTCATTAAAGTTTATTTGCGTTTGAGGTAACACAAACTTGTGTCTTAAAAATTTTGGCACTTGATGCTCGCAGCGATTCACTTTACATTTCAACCTGATTGATGGCGATTTCACTCCATTCAAAAATTCTATAGAATCGAAGTAGTAATCGTTTAAAAGATTTTTAACTATTTTCTTTTGATTTTTGCATGTGGAGAGTAGTAGGCCAAAAAGTTTAGGCCAGTATTAGGCCTGTATGTACGTACTTTCCCGCTGGGGAGGGGAGAGGAGCTGAAAGGAGACGCGTCATATCGTCCTCTGTATCTGTCTCCTTCTTTGTCTATCTAACTTATGGAAGCTCCCTACCCTAATACTTGAGCATAATAGGGGCTAGGAGATCGGAATTAAGAATTTTACTGTTTTGTCTGATCCCCTGGGGATCATTAAGAAATCGACCCTTGTCTTCAAAGTCATCTATCTTTTCAAGAATGCATTGAAAACGTTGTAGTTGTACAAAGCATATATCATGGTACGGTTAGGTATGTTTTTGAGTTTTTCGATAAATCCCTTGCGAACGGTGGCTCATAGAAGGTTTGATAAACTGGAGTTCTACCATACTGTAAACATGAAAAGCAGTGCTATAATAGACCAGTACAACCTCACAACATTTCCAAAAGTTTATGGGATGGAAGACGACTTCAGAACTTCAGAACCTATGGTAATATCCTAAGGAGATCCTCTAAAGATCCAAAAGATCTCAGGAGATCCCAAAGAAGATCCAAAAGATCCCAAGCAAAACAATGAAATCTTCAACTGCATGTCCTGTCATCCAGTATGCTCAGGTATAAGGGTATAAAAAATTTCACAAGATAGGTAGGAAAAGAAGCAGGAGGTGTCCACTGCAGCGGGATATGACGCGTTCCCTTTCGGCTGCACTCCCTTCCCCAGCGGTGGTGTACGTGCTGACGGACCGTGTGGTCATATGCATGGGCATCCTGCGGTGAGGGAAGGGCCCAGCGTCGAAAAACCTCATGCATACGGGCCTCAGAGCCGCATGCATAAACATCCCCATTGGGGAAAGGTTCGCAAAAAAAGCTTTATACCTTGAAGCTACAAATATCTGGATTTCACATTATCTACCTGCCGTAAGTATTTCAACTATTCTTCATCATAAACATATTGAGTAGGAGCGAGAAGTTGTACAAGCCGTATGTTCAAGCTTTATTTATGATCTTCTGACGAACCCGCCAGTCAACCGTTTTTTCTTTAAAGGCAGCGTCCCACCAGACTGGGGGTACCTGGCTCTCGTAATGATGTAATCGTAGACCCCCTACCTAGGCGATGACTGAAGTTCGGAGCGAAAAAGGGGGTCTACCAAGCCTGAAATCTTCTCCAAAAGTGGGCCGAATCTTACGGTAGGGCCGAACGCCGCCCACACGGCGATATCGATTTGCAGGGCCAGAGTGCGTATAGCGCACACATCATGAGCGCAGGGACCCGGAACCACTCTGCGTCTCTACTTTGCGTGCACCTCGCACTCGCCCGATCCTACCGTAAGATTCGGCCCACTTTCGGAGCGAATTTCAGGCTTTGTAGACCCCTTTTTTCGCTCCGAACTTCAGTCATCGCTTAGGTAGGGGGTCTACTATAACATCATTGCGAGAGCCAAATACCCCCAGTCTGGTGGGACACTGCCTTTGAAGTCATCTTTCTTCCTTTGAAGTCAATGAAACGGTGTCAAAATTTTACTGATTATCTAACGAAACGCGACGAGGATGTTTCTGATAAGCAAATGATGTACTAAATTCAGGAAATTTGCGATAAAACACAAGTCGGAAATTAGGGTCTATGGAGATTTCCGTTCATCGTTAACTCATTTGTTCTTAACAGCAGCATGCTTAGCTATTTGGTTAGATAACCAGTACAAAGCGTGAAACCCAGATATCTGGAGCTTCAGGATTCAAGCTTTTTTCTAAGCTGCGATTCCCTTTTCGGAGGGGATATTAATGCACGCTATCGCGGAATGGCCCTCAGCTCCCAACGTCAGTGATGTTGGGGCTCTTCTGCATCGGCGGAGCCAGGGGTCCACTTCGGGAAAGGTGTGAACGCAAGATATGGTGGCGTTATCTGTAAGAATTCTAACTGCGCCCGCCACAACACGCTCACACATAGGGGCCTTGCCATTAGCCTACTTAGCAGTTTACTCGACACCGTGACGCCAGCTCACAACCATCGACAGTTGGGGCGTTCACTTACGATTCAGGCACTATCCTAATCGTGCCAGCTCTCACACTGATAAAACACTCTGGGCAGAATTGTAATATGAACACATAGCATGGTATCGCATAGATATTCTCCGGAGCCACAGCCGAGCTGTGATCCACCGCATCAATACAAGATACACATGTGAAATGCCCACCAATTATCCGCACAAATTCCCTATACTCAAATACAAGGGTGGAGCACAACCAGACAGATGTTAGGCCTCGGCCAGTATTCACGCTATTCGATCGTCGCAATCCAGTCGCTACAAGGCAAGTGTTACGAGTTCATTGCATGCCGATCTTCTTGCATTTTGATTGTAACATATTTACCTACGTAACATATTTGAAAGCTGCGCAAGTAGAGAGGTGAGAGGCGGGACAGCGCGAGATTCCCCCCTCACCCCCGGGACACCAGGACCCCCGCAGTGCGGCGGCACCCCCTCCCCCCCCCCTCCCCAAAAAGAAGTCGTGAATCCGCGACACATGCGGTCCCCAGTATAACCCAGCAAATATACTCTCTGATCAAATGACGTTGTCCAGGTATGAGAAATATTAGGTTGTCCCGAAAATTTTGTCCGTTTTTTCAACCTATCATAAAAACGCGTGGAACGAAGATAGGGAAACGCTCTAAGTATTACTCCACGCAACTTTTCCTCCTCTTTTTGACTGTCATGATCTCATGCCGATTATTCTTTTGCTCACTGAGGTAAACGCCAAAATTTCGAACCCATGGTTTTTACTATGTCCAAGTTTGATAATTTTTCACAACCTTTATTTTCAACTTTTGGAAGACCTTTGGTAGCCCTCAGATAGAGTAAGCAAAGAGCAATGCAATGCATTTATTTGGCATATATAGCTGGCTTTTCAATATTTTTGAAGATAATTTCTTCAAAGGTCTTCACTTTCGCGAGGTTCTAAAATACAGAAACGCCTCGAACACTAACAAATCATCGGATTTTGAAGCTTCCAAAAGCCGATTACGATTACTCACTATTTACGAAGCAAATGAGCGTCTACCGCTTTAAAATATAAGATTTTGCATTTTACGTGTACACGCTGGGGTGGGGGTAAATTCAAGGATTATGAAAATTTTATCGCCAAAGGCCCCGCATATTGGAGACAAAATATACTCACTGGAAAGAGGAGGAAAAGCTGCATCGAATATTAGTTGTGCGCCGTTTCATGATCTCTGGCTTTTGGCATCATCAAAAGTGGAATTTGATAGCATCAGAAAAATAATTCTAAAAAAATTTTCAAGGCCGGCTATAGCTGCCGCAAAATTGCATTATATTGCCCTTTGTTTGTTCCATCTAACTGCCAAAGCTTTTCCGAAATTCAAAAATAAAGATTGTGAAAAACTGCCAAACTTGGACATAATAAAAAACTGGGTTCGAACTCCGGCGTTTATCTCAGTGAACAAAAGATCAATCGGCATGGAATCATGACAGTTGGAAAGAGGAGGAAAAGATGCGCCGGGTAGTGCTTAGAGCGTTTCGCTATTTTCGTTCCACGCGTTTTTATGATAAGTTGAAAAGCGGGCAAAACTTTCGGGACAACCTAATAACTGACTAGAAAAATAAAACCCCCAGTTACAACTGTGACTTATATGTCAAGACATCAATATCTAATGAAATCTTGTGCATCAATATAAGCTGAAGTCGAACTTATAAAAGAAGCAAAAAGCGGATACAAAAGTTTTTTTGTATTGTATAATTCTGTTCCTTAGCCTGGAGAATTTACAAAGTGTACATGATATGTGAGTGCAAAAATTTACCAATACTCACCAACCAATCTTTCCATCTACAAAGAAACGAATTTAAATATTTCCGTTTAGTTCAAAAGTAATTGAGCAATTTTAATAGATATCGATGTGGCCATGAGAATGGTGTTTTCAGCAAGTGTCTGAAAGCATCAGGAAACCTTGATTCTTCTGAGTTTGCAGAATTGAATGAAAATTCGTTTTGAGTTGAAGGCAGTGTCCGGGCAAAAAGTCGATCTTGAGATTTTTTGCTTACCCGGGCCTATTCGCTACGCTGAATCCGAAAATGCACATTGGAGAGCGCGAAAACGGCGAAAAACGGCTCTAACACGGGAGGGAAATCAGCAGGTGGGCGGGGTCCTCCCCACTGTGAATTCACGCTCCCAGCTTCCAGAGCGATCTTCGGTTCCGATGTCAAGTCATGCATTTGCACCTGGCCGGTGGAGATCTCAGGGCGCTAGAGGAATTGGGAAGATCGCTCCAGAAGCTGGGACTGCGAAATTCACAGTGGGGAGGACACCGCCCACTTTCGATTTCCCTCCTGCGTTAGAGCCCTTTTTGCCGATTTTGTGCTTTCCAATATGGTTTTTCGGATTTAGTGTAGTGAATAGGCCCGGGTAAGCACAAAATCTCAAAATCGACTTTCTGCCTGGACACTGCCTTTAAGTGCCAATCATCAGGGAATGATCCACGAAAGTCCATTTGATAATGGGTTTTCCGCGACGAAACTCGAATAAAATGGGCTTAGTCCATGCGGTGCGACAAGATATCGCTATCGTGAAATTATTTATTTCATACAGTAATCAGTTTTGAGCAAGAGATGTGGCACACAATCGCCGAATACGACCCCCCCCCCCCCAGCATTTTCGTTTATCTACCGTAGGCAGAGGTGCGATAGTCGGAGCCGAGTCTCCGCCTACCTTTTGAGCTGATACCGGGTGACCACCTTCACTTTTGGGTTTGAAAAAATTTTTCTGCTGAAGCTCAAAAGAAGGAAAATAAGCAAAAGGAAAGTAAAAGAAAGTATTGAGAGCATATTCCCATGTAGTAGGTCAATCTAGGCAGTAACCGCAGAGAACCAGTATTTCGAATGACAAAGTAGCGAAAAATCATGCGAAATTTCCACTGCTATAAATCTGTTGTTTGAAGATGTCAGCAGTTGCGACTTCAAAGGTTTTAAAGAGTAAATGGTGCTCTATCAGATAGTGAAGGAATCGAGTCGATTTTTGGGAGTTAGTCGTTGAAAACCAGAATTCTAAAAATTCACGCCATTTTTGCGTGTTTTTTGACAGTTGACAGTTAAACTCGTATAAATCTTGAAAGTGAAAGTGTGTGATGTTGCGACTTCATAGGTTTTGTAGAGCAAGAATTTCTCTATCGGAGCATATTTTAGCCGTACCGATCCATTGAGATACCGCCGAGATCCAGGGTCTTGAAAAAGCAGGTAAAAATCCGCTTTTTGAATTTCAACAGCTCATAACTTCTTCAGAATTGCACGAATCATGTTGCGACTTCATAGGTTAGATTCTTCTCATCAAGAGTCAGATGGTATACAATATGTGGAAGGTTCAAAGATTTTTGCGGCTCTAACCCAGTATGGAGACTTTTCACCCCAAAGTCTCCACCTCGCCCATGTTAATGTATTGGCCGGAGACCGCCAGTGGAGACTTTGGGGTGAAAAGTCTCCACCCCCGGGCATATGCCGTGAAAGGCGCGAAACCCCCACATATTATATATCATCTGAAAGCTCTTGATGAGAAGAATCTAACCTATGAAGTCGCAACATGATTCCTGCAATTCTGAAGAAGTTATGAGCTGTTGAATTTTAAAAAGCGGATTTTTACCTGCTTTTTCAAGACTCTGGATCTCGGAGGTGTTTCAATGGATCGGAACGGCTAAGATATATTCTGATAAGGCAAACCTTACTCTACAAAACCTATGAAGTCGCAACATCACACACTTTCACTTTCAAGATTTATATGAGTTTAACTGTCAACTGTCAAAAATCACGCAAAAATGGCGTGAATTTTTAGAATTCTGGTTTTCAACGACTACATCTCAAAAATCGACTCGATTCCTTCACTATCTGATAGCGCACCATTTACTCTTTAAAACCTATGAAGTCGCAACTGCTGACATCTTCAAACAACAGATTTATAGCAGTGGAAATTTCGCATGATTTTTTACTATGTAAATATTCAAAATTCTGGTTCTCGGCCGGTACTGCCTAAATCGACCTACTTCCTTCGCAGTATGTTATGACAAAATTTACTTAATGAAATCCGTACAGTTAAACAAACTTTTACCTCCAAATACACCATTTACTAAACACGTCTATTTTAAATTTTTATAAATGAAATTTATAAATATTTTTAATATTTATCGTATCTGTGGCCCTAAAGAGGGCCGTTGGGTCACAGTTCGATCTAGAAAGATAGCTCTGTTCGTCAGTCTCCTCCCCCCCCCCCCCCCCCCCGCCCGTCGACATTTTTCGGAGGTGAGTGTCTGGCACTACCACCTTCACTTTTGGCCGGTCAGTGGTAGCTGGAACCACCTTCACTTTTGGGGGGCCCGGCTCCACCTATCGCACCTCTGACCGTAGGCTGACACAAAGGCTCTGCCAAGCATAATTAGTAACCATAACGAATCACCCATGTGGGCCAAGTTTTAGCGATTCTGGGGGTCCAATATTGAGCCACTCGAGTGAAATGGCCATTTTCAAGCAATAAAATAAACTACATTTCAAAACTGTATTAGCTATCCCTTCCTGTACAATGCGAAGCGCTACTCTATGTTCGCCTATATCATAAACTCTGCTTAAAAAAAACCATTAAACTATGGAATTAGGGGCCAACCAAAATGTTCCTTGTCTTATTTTCCGCTCGCGGTGGTTTGCTTGTAGCAACTATTGCTAAAACGGAAGAAGTCGAACTCAGCTTACTTCCACAAAAATTACGAGGTTTTGGTTGAACTGTGTGAAACTTTTTCCTAATGTTATCTTTGAAGGTATGTTAATGGCGTGTGGCACAACCCAGAAAAGCTGTGACGGCCCACTTTTCAGGGGTTGTGTCAAACCCTATTAACTTACCTTGAAAACCTTCATAGACTTGCGATTTTTATATCGTTACTACTGCTTAACCTTCTTCTTTATACAGCAGGACTTTCATTTGAAATTGTTTCTTCTAGGGAAAGATACAATAATCGTTAATATATAATTATAATGTATAATAATAATGTATAATAATGTAAGTAATGTATAATCGTTTTTCTTCATCTATGCTGCATATGGAAAATACTGTGGGGTTACGATAACATGCTAAGTCCATGCTACTACGTGAATTGGGAGGGTAGGCGACAAGAATGTATATACTCAACAGTCTAAGCCTCTGATTTAGACTAAAGTGATTTGAGCCTGATTGGTCTTCGCTAGTCTGAATACTGAAAGCAAAAAATGGAACGAACGAGATTTTGGCTTGCTCTCAATTTTAGTTTGGAGGCTATTTGAAGTAGAATTCTTAAAATGACGAAGAAATGGTAGTTTTTTGTATTAAGTGCAAAAAGAAGAGTTAATTTGTTCGAAAGAAAGTTAACATGACCAAAAACGGCCATCTCACTTGAGTGGCCCATCATTTGAAAACTCAGAATTTGTTGAAACTCATCCCACGGTTATCTAAGATGCTAATTACAAAAATGTTGCCCATACTTTTTATAGTTCTTTTATTTCCCTTACTGACGTATACGGTGGTGGGCCAAAACATCAATGTGCTAGTACTTGTACTACCGTGTACATCTTTGAACTATTCTCTTTCTTAGCGATGTAATGGCTCACGGAGGCTTTTAGCTTTGTCCACAAAAGTGTTTAGCAGATAAGGAAAACAGATTTGGGGTTAATTCTGCTGCATCTACTTTCACGCAGCTTGTTTGAATTGGACTCTTCAACTCCTGACATTGCCTTATAAGTATCTAACGAGGGAACGATCCTGAGTGAAGATGGCGAACTGGGATGGACCGCATATCATGAGATGAGTCTTAATGAGCTGATATCGACTCTACCTTCCATATCTGAACGAGCTTTGTAAAGGTTATGGGCAAGTAAAAGTATGGAGTCATGGGAGTTTTGATGCATAATGAATAGTAGAATCCAGGATAAGGGTGCATGGTCAGCATGATATTGAGTGCACTGATATCAAGGGATGCTCACATCTATTGTAAACACGAACAAGCGTTTTTGATGTGGCACTGAATGTCTACCAAATTTGGACTTCTGATTCTTGATAACTTTTTTCAAAGAACCGCGTTGCAGATATGTAATGTAGATCTGAAATCAGCTTCAAGGCGCATTTAATGATATGCATTTCATTCCAGTTTGCCACCTTGACCTGGGAAGGTTTCCTCATAACTAAGTAAGTAAGTAACAACTAACACACGATGCGGAAAACTAAGTTCTGCCATTACTGTAGTGAGTAGAGACTGTCTCAATAACAACGTCACGACTTAAGCTTGAGCGCCAAGACTCGTAGCCCTCAGTTTGCTCATGCGTTGAAATGCATAGAGGATAAGAGCTTAACGCAAGGCTCCATCGAGACGACCGCAGTATCTAAGCCGCTAAAGTGTGCTTTCCACGGATTAACGGGAATCGTGATGCTTTGGAATCATCTCCATGACCTTCTCCATCATATTAATTTCAGACGACGGAAACTAACAAATGTGCGCTATATAACTCTGAAGTTGTTAAATACACACAGCTTATAATATTCGTTTTCTCCTACATAATTCCCGGTTGGTTCTCGGTTTTTCTATCACAAAAACTTTGTCGGTAGCGTGATTTGCAGTGGCAATGATTGCAACAATGTGTGTTCAAATTGCGGCTTATGCGCACTCAACATTTCGCATTGCACGGACAAAATGCTCGAGAAGAACTTCCAACAAGATGAACAAACTGCTTGGTGAGCGAGTTTTATTGTTGCCTTGAATGACGCCACCATTTTTAGCTGCTATAGTAGCGTCTTTCTTGGTTTGCTGGTCACCTCAACAGATAGCTCATTTAATTCTACTCTTTTATTTTGTGGAAATCGAGAAGTCTATATTGGATCCCATTATAACCATATCAGGTAATTCTCTATCTTCTCTATCTTTATTATCTTGAGACGGCTTTTGTAAGTCATAGCATTTTTAGCATGTTGTTTCTACCTGAACTGTGCCTTAAACCCTATCCTGTACAACATGTTTTCCAATAACTTCCGGAGAGCGTTCCTGCATATGATCAGCGGTGGAAGACCAACTGCAACTGCGAAGACAACTTGTTCTGCCTCTGTTGAAAGTGATAAAACTTCAGCGGTCACCGTCTCTTAACTCAACTAATCGATATGATTGAAAGCATTTGCCTTTGTTCTTGCTATATTTCATGTTTTTGCCAGGTTTTATGAAGAAATTTTTCAAAACGTTTCGAAGCCCTCTGTTTGGACAAATTTGGCATCTTTATAAATATGATTAGACTGAGTCAGAACATGATAGTTTCAATTACATAACAGGACTTCGAAGAGAAAAGTCATGGTATCTTCTTTTGGTTTAAGTAATGCTATCTAAAAGAAAAAGTTGATGCACCTGAATTGCAGTGTTTTATGTCAGAGGCTTTATCCATAGCAATGTTCTTACTGTTACAAAAGAACCTGGCGCTGTCTTCAACTTTTCAACTTCAACTTTTACGGAAATTAATCACGCTTCTCAGGTGAGGTCACATGCAAGCACTAGTAAAAAAGATGGTGCTTCGTGACCTCACCTGAGGGGCGTGCAACCGCGACTTTCACCAAGGAAAGTTACCAGCGCACTTCCGATACATACGGAATGGTTCAAAGCATCATTATTCAAAACATTGTAAAGTGAGCTGAAACGCTTCCGTTGTGAAAAAATTTGCTTAATTGGAGCAAATCAAAAGTCATTTTCCGAGAAATACAAATCTAGAGGCTACTGCATGAAGAAGGTACAGAAGCGGTATAAGGTGGGCGAGCGCGAACGCGACACGCACTTGTCACCTTTGTAGATCCTGCGACTCATGCGCCTTGCGGCTAATAAAGCCGCTTCCACGTCCAATGATGTTGCGGCATTGTCATGCAGCAGCCTATATTTCTGTGTTTTTTTTTTGGACGAATAATTGTTATAACCATTGATAACGTTTATGGAGATTATGCATACATGTCCAAATTACTCGTGTTTTGAACAGATACAAAAAATTTTTGCGTTCGAATAGTTGTTGTAAGCAAAAAAGAGAAGTTCAAAATATTTTACATCTACGTTTTACAGAACATATCAATTTGAATTATTTTTATCCTCCTTTTCCTTCTGGAAACGAGTGATGGAGCGGATTGCTTGGAACGCAACTTTTCAGATCTCACTGTAGATACTGGTTCACATGCTTCTGCGATCCTTAACTTTTGTCTTGGCGCGTCTTTGCTAGAGCAAAATTAAGATGTTCCTATACCAACAGATCACAGGCAGAATATGAATTGTGTCGTGATGGTACTTATTGTAAGGATTTCAACACAGATCACAAATGAGAAAGTAACTTCAAAGCATTTTCTCACCTTTATTTACGGCCCCTAAAATAATTGGGAACATTGGAACAATTTTGCTCCAGCGCGCGCTAGTGCGCTCAAACTTCCATGTCGACATGAACCCCATTCATTCCTTAGATTGGGTTCTCGTGGTATTTTCCTTTTTTATTCTGCTCTCTGTTCCCTATTTCAACAGGAACTCCGTTTTCTAATCATGTTGGAGACACAAAATGCTTTTAATCATATACCGAATAGCAGAAAGTTCGAGTGCGTTATTTTTTTGACTTTTCCTTTCCCTAATTTTCATTTTGGTTGGTCTTTGTGATGATATCAGTAGCCTGGTCAAAGCTGACATTTTGCATACATCTTAAATAAGTTTATCTTTATCCTCTAACCTGGAGTCAAATAATAGCTTTTCATTTGGATTCTCGTGTTGTCGATGACAACTGGTTGTATTATCTTAACATAAATTATTTGAAAAGTACAAACCACTTTAACTCTGCGATTTTTATCTTTGGGAGACGGCAACTGTGGAAGTTTTCAAAAAACACTGGAATGCGACTCTTATATTATCATGATGGATGTTCAGTCCCTCATTAATTCATGCACGGGATTTCTTCACACGGCCAACAAAAAAAAAAGAAGAACTTTTGAAGTTATACTTTCATCTTGCAGAGAACTCATTTTTTTGCATTTTGAGCAAGTAGTTCGAAACAATTTAAGTTGTTTACATTTCTCTCAAATTGGTTAATTCTTTCTACAAGTGTAGTCAAATGGCAATCGCTAGCAAGTTCTAGCGTAAGCTCGCTCAAGTAAGTTTTCGAGGACTGTTGTTACAAAGCGCTTTCACCTTTGACAGCAATGCCTTGCTATATAGTCAGCCTTCTCTTGATATTACCACTTATCAATCTCTCGACTTCCCGAATTCTTCGAAATGGTAAGTGTATATGTGTTCTCAGCAAAATTACCAACATTTTGAAAATTGTCATCAATAATTTGAGTAACAAGCTTACAGTTTTGTTGCTTTAATTGAAAGTCGGTGCTTCTTGCTATGACAAAAAATTTGCTTGCCGCTGATATTTTGTTTGAAAAAATGCATTTTGCTTTGTAATTTAAAGCTCTTTACAACAGAGATAAACGCAAAAGAAAACTAAGCTTCGTTTACTTACAAGAGTACATGAAATATGAAACGTGCAGAGGAACTACCATCCAGAGGTTTTGTGAGCGCTCCTTCTCAAGCAGAATCTGTATCATTGATATTTTTACAACCAATCAAGATTTCTTTTTAGACACTCAAAACCAAAACTCTCTTACATTGAATAAATTAGCATAAAAAACCTGTATTATTGATGGTTATGGGTTTGATTACAACGACTCAGACTTTCAACGACTTTCTACTTTTTCTTCTTCCACTTACGATTGCGAACGCTCCATGGGGTTTCCCAAGCTTCTTTGTTAGTTTCCTAATTTTTGTTAGCATCAAGCACATTGATATAAAAGAAACAGCTTTGAAGTTTGGTAACAAAAATTTAGCTCTTGGAGCTACGTTCATGTATTTGTGCTAGAATAACAGAGTAGTGTTATTTGATGGGATTTAGCCCTATAAACAGCGACACACATTGATGTATAAATTGAGGAAACTGTGACTGAATTGCGCTAATTTATGCAAAATTCTATCATTGATTTGTCTATACGTTAGGATAGAGCACAGCGGTGCTCAAGCGTCCGATCTGGTAAGTTAACCATTTCGGAAAAATCAGGCCCAATGTAGACAGACTGAGGCCTGCTGCTGTTCTTACCATGCGCCCCAAACTTCCATAAATCACGGAATGGGCAGTCTTCTCGACTGGTTAAGCACTCGGTTATAACGGTTGAAGGCAGCGTCCGGTCAGATTGACGACCTCCGGTTTATTGCCTTATTTGGCCCTACTCGTCGCCCTAAATGCGAATATAAGCCTCGGAGCGCGTGAAAACGAAGAAATCTGAGGTTTTCGGAAGCCCCTTCCAGTGGCCTCCGGACGAGCACTCACATGCCACTGGTCAGAAACCAGAGAAGCAAGACGCCGCGATATTGTATTGCGGCACGGTTACGACAGTACGAGGCTGCAACCCGTCCACAGTTATGACAGTGCGAATTAGCAATCTGCACATCTAATGTGAAATCCTTGGATGGGCGGGCATGTCGCCGCCGGCCGTAAAGGGGTGTCCCTGTCCCCACTTCTGAGGCGGTTTGCTCGCTTCAGAAGCAAAGTGGAGCGATGGCACTTGGGCAAGAGCTTGATCGGGGTGGGAGCTGTAGGAATCTATGCTTTTCTTGAAATCGCCGAACCTGCCCGGACGCTGCCTAACGGTTAAACAGCGCCCTAACAGCGAGCGGAAGTTTGATAAATACGATTTCAGGTGTGAACATTCACACTGCTCAATATGCTCCCGCATTTTACCTCAAGTGCCATCCTTCGAAGTGTCTTCGTCTCGCCCACCAGAATGTCTGCCTGCCCAAACGTTAAATTAGAAGAAGAAAATTGAAGTCAACAGTCTTGAGCATGGTCGGCTGCAAGACTTCTGTATTCTGAGAGTATTGGTCATTTGCTTCAGATGCTGCTCGTCAGCGTGTCAATTAGAAAATTCAATGAAATTTTGACTTGTGAAATAAATTTTTAAAGGTTTATAGAGCATTTCTAAGCAAATGCATCCTTTTCACACATGCGGCGGATATTTCAAGCTGTTTTAGTTGAAGGGTCCATGCGTCAGCTAGGAATACCAAACTAGAGGGCAGAAATATGACAAAATCAAGAGTTGTTTATTTAGAAAAGTCTCAAAAAGCTGCACGTTTTTGAAAGCATGTGTAGGGATGATCAAAGCAAAAAATTAAAAAATGCTAAATTGAAAATCTCGATTTATAGCCGCTGAAGAGGTCTGCTTTCCAGAGAAAGAAGTGACAGAACATTTATCTTATCTTTAGAGTGAATCAGTGTGTGGCCGTAAATACTTGACAAATCAATTCGGAAGGATAGAGTATCTGTGAAGAGCAGCAACGACAGAGATGGAGGTCATTAGAACCGTCTCGTCCGCTATAAAAAAAATATAGTTCAAATGGTTCCACTGTTTGAAGGTGCTTGATCAAAAGGGGTGTAGACGATTTCTAGAGCTTGACATATTCCAGGATAGAAATCCTGTAACCAGGGTTGAGCAAGAGGTCAGGCACTAGTCCTTCAAAAACGACCTTCCCCCCCCTGTGAAAGCCCCTAAAATGACCCCTCCACTTCAACTCCAGGACCTTAGACTGTGTTATGTTGAAGAAGACCAGCCTTTACTGGAGGGTTCTTGTTTTTTGGCAGCAGGCCCAACTTTCTGCGATTGCACAACCACACGCAACTTGACGGCAAGTTTTGAACTTGGATAGCCCTCTTTTCAGAGTTATAGTTTTTGCAGGGGTGGAGTGTTTGGCTCCAAATTTTCAATATAGCAAGAAGAGGCTTTGCTCTCAATACTCATACTAAAAAAGGAGCGAGTTTTGAATATTGAAGGTAAGTTAAGGGGTCAGGCGCAACCTCTCAAAAGCTCAGGCGGCCTGACCTTTTGAGGGGTTGCGCCTGACCCCATTAACTTTATTTTCGAGGAAGCTTTTCTATCCAAGTTTTATGTGATTCGCTAGCACAACTCTCGTAGATTCCACAGTAAGTGTTTGAGCTTGTTTCAACTTGTTTCGGCCTTGTAGCAATCCGTAGAGTTAAAGCACTTAACGCGAAGAACGCGCCGGTTGGAAATTTGGCAGCCTTCTTACTTCACTATTTAAAAGTGACATGAAGCCTGATTTCTAGCATAGACTTGCAGGGAACGATACTTTGTTACGAGTATAAAGAAGCTGACTATTTTCACTTTTGAAGCCAAATTAATCATGTTTGAAAATCACG